GCTGGTCGTAACCCGAAAGGTTCGTTAGTAGAGGCGTTCGTATCCCGAGGTACCACTGTACAAGATACTGATGGTTCATAATCTGATACTGATTTCAACGTTGGCACAACTATTAATATGATTAAGTAACGACAATAATATCAATCATTAATAGTTTCACCATTTGTAAAACATGCAGGGATCTAAATAATAACACACCACAGAAATGGAGGCAGTGTTGAATGTGAATACTGTAAATGTCTTCAAGATGAAGTGACCTGTTAGCAGAACTATATTGTAGAAATAATTTATGATTTTTAAATACTTCTTATAATGCTAAGCAAGATCATACTATAGCAGGCATTATGGAGAAATGTATACATGAGATTGACTTCCTGCAACCTGAATATAATCTTGAAATCAAACCTGTTTAGTGTGTGGATTTCCATTTCATTCACACAATGACCTATATCTACTATTGCAAGATTTTTAAGATGGGATCCTATTCTGCATTTATCTCCTGCATTGAGATCTTTGGAATAGAATGTAAAGAAAATCATGATTTCTCTACATCAGGCTCTACAAGTTGTTCAGAAGCATAAATTATTCAAGAAAGCTCAGCTGGCAGCTAACCTATGTGGAATTAAACATTTTTTCCTTATTCCAGTGACTTTGTTTGTTTTCCCTGGATTCTGGAATGAAGAAATGTTTTGATCCAGAGGCTGCAGAGAAGTTTGCTGTTTTGGGATCATCTGAAGTAAAGATGTTTACTTCAAATGATTAGTTTTCAATAACGATTTTTTTCCTATTTTTTAAAGGAAGATGGGCCACTTTGACTTGAGGAAGTTACAGTTATCCTACTGTAGTTTCAGTATACCAGGAAGAAGCTAACAGTTGTACAGGTAGTCCTTGCTTAATGACTATTCGTTCAGTGGCCCTTCAAAGTTACAACAGCACTGAACGAAGGGACGTACAATCTGTACCTGAAGTTACGGTGATTTGCACCCTTGGCAATCAGTTTGCCCTTACAACCGGTTGCCAAGCACCCTGTGATCATGTGATCGCCATTTGCAATCTTCCCTGCTGCCTGCTGGGAAAGTCAACGGGGAAACCAGCAGGGAAGGTCACAAGCCACTGCTGCCTGCGAAGAGGACTCCCTCTTGTCTCTGAGGGCTGGCTGAAAAAGCTCCATGCTGAAATCCAAGCAAGATTTTGGCATGGGGCATATTCAGGCAGCCCCCAAAGCTTTGTGCACTGAACGCCCCCGCATGGGGCATTTAGCACACGGAGCTTTGGGGGCTGGCTAAAAAAGCTTCAGGATTTAGGCACAGGGCATTTAGTGCATGGAGCTTTGGGGGCTGCCTGAAAATGCCCCGTGCCAAAATCCAAGCATTTTTAGGCAGTCCCCAAAGCTCCGCGCACTAAAAAGTCTTTCCACTCTAGGATTGAAAACCTAAGCAGTTCTGAGGCCCTCGCGCACCCAACCTGCACCACACCACCGCCCTGGCCCTCACACACACACCCATGCACCTGCCCCCAGTCCCTACCCCACCATGGCAGGGCCTGGGGCTTGCAACTTTCTGTTGGC